CAGAAGAGGTGACTAAAGACTTTGGTTTAATGTAAGGTAAGCCTAGTGGATAAATGGTATGTGCAGTCAGCTTCAATATGAGAAGGGCAAATTTCTGGCAAGAATTGTTAAATAGATACCTTCAGGAAAAGCATCAGTAATTTCTGTTTTGTTGTAAATTGTTGGTACTGATGTATTATTAAAAAAATATATAACACAACATATCAAAACAGTATTAATTCTCAAAGCTTACAAGCTAATCAAAATAACAAATAGAATATAAAATGGCTTACATTGTCTAACTAGATAATGAAAAAGATCAATTCCCAAAACAAATAATGATCAATAACAACAGAAAAAAAGGGAGAAAAAAAGCACAAGTTAGTTACATTTCACAAATGTAAATATTCATCATAAAAATTGACTTACCTGATTCTTTGTTAATGGACAAAAGATGAACAGGAAAATTAAAAAGTTGATTCAGGATAAAGTTAAAATATATGGTTTCCCATTTGAATAAATAAAATAAAAAAAATGAGTGGAATAAATGGAAAATAATTTTTTGTATATTTTTTTAGACAATTTGTTCATTACCATTTACTTGAAATTCAGCATATTTTTTTTTTTGAAAGTATCGCACTTGCTCTTCCCAATCATCTACCTTCTTTGTTAACTCTTCATATATTTTTTTTAAGAAAATAAACTCCCCTTCACATGTTTCTTTATCTCCTTTCCACAACTGGTCCAGCCTCCCTCCCCATTTTTCTTTCCACTCCTTCAACTCTTCCTCTGCCTTCCCCAACCTCTTCTTAGCATCATTTAATTCATTTATAATTCCGTCAATACTTGCCATTTTTTTTAGAATTAAAAATATTTGTAAAATTAATTTTTTAATTTAGATCGTAATTGTTATAAATAAATAATTTGGACCAATGATAAATTAGTGGCCACATGACTTGTACTTTTTACATACAATGATTTAATGACACTTTAATTCAATTAATAATAGAAAAATACATAAATAATTTATAAAAATATAAGTTAAAGAATTGTCTGAGCACTTGCATAGGAGGAAATACTTGGACCCAAAGTCATTTGTAAGTATTACCTATTCTTTGGGCACTCTGACAAAAATCTAACTTTCACTATTACTACTATTTTTATTATCATCAATATTGTTATTATTTGTATTTTCTTCATTTTCATTATCTTCATCAACTTCTCTCTCAATTTCTTTCTTCTTTTCTTTGTTGACCATTCCTGAATTGCTTCTATCATTTTCCTTCTAGAATTTGTTTTTTGTTGATGGAAGTATTTTATTATGGAAGTAGCAACACCTTTTCCTTCTCCAAGTAATTCATGACAAATTTCAATGTCCATTTCACTAAATGAAAAATCGGGATTCAGTTCAGTCTTTTGTCAAATAATTGTTTGAAATCCTTTTATATCTTGTGAATATTTTTTATCACCAGTAAATTTGCTTAATTTATTTTTGAATTGGCTTTTTCTTAGTTCTATTTTATCAAATGTTTGATCAATTTTTTGATT